TATGTAAAAATTTCAAATAAATATTCAATAAAGATAGAGGCATGGCCTCACCATTAATATTAAAAAAAAAAAAAAATCTGATTTTTATCAAAAATGATCAAAAATAATACAACATATGATTTGTAATAAATTTACAATTATCTTTGCCTTAGTAATAATAACAATTATTAAAATTTTGCTATTTAAAAAAGATAATATTTGTGAATAAAACAAAAAAAAAATTTGACAAATACATCTAGAATTGTATAAGATAATATGATCCAACTAATTTTTTTTTGTTGCATTATTTATGATCATTAGTGTATATGTAAGAATGTTACATCTATATCATACTAATACTAATCTATCTGAATTGCATATAAAATCTATCTAAATAACATTATTAGTATTTGACCTACTACACATATAATCTAACTTAAAGTTACAAATAAACTTATAAAAGTTAAGCAAACAAAAAACTTATGACAAAGCAGTTTCATCTGCAACTCGATCTGAAAATCTATCTTGTTTTTGGTTTTGCATGACAACATCACACATCTACTTATTTATTACATTATCAAATTTGAAATCAACTTAAGTCACTATTAAATTTAATGGTTTATTGATTTATTAGTGATTTATTAAACATCAAGTTTAGAATCAACATAAGTTGCTTTTAAATTTCATATCGACTTGGGTTACATTTGAAATTCTGCTTCATTCTCACATACAACACATATAAGCAAATCCAGCATTACCAACAATCAAGGGTGCAGTCACATAATGACCTGACCTCCTGATCTCATCTATCTATACAGTGCAACAATAACAGCAGAGACAGTGCCTAATTCAAAAATGAATTACTCTCGTTTGTGATCAATCACAAATTAAATTATTTATTTTGGTCAATTGTGATGGATATAATCCTTCACCAATTTTATAACATTAACATTAACAGTAAGCAATGTAAACAGTCAACTATCTTTATAATATAACTTTTTATAATGAATTATGTTGGAGTTGGTATAGAAGCATACTAAATTACTTTTATAAAAAAAAACTGTTCCCAATTTTTACTATATATTCAATTTTTTTTCTTTTTTATTCGTTTTTAACTCTATTTCATCGCAAAATACAAGTGGCATAGAAATACAAGAAAACAATATAACCAAATGACTACAACACACATTATAGTAAAATTATGCTTGAAAAAATAATTCACTATAACTTATATTGAAAGAATACTAAATATACTTTACAAACTCTTTATTATATCAAAAGTTCTTTATAATAAAATGTTCTTTTCGTTATATAAAAAATTTGAAGCATAATTCATAACTCTACAGTCTTTTATTTCTTTTATCGAATTTTTAATTTAGTACATGAATGCATATTTGTTTATAAATCCAATTAAAATCGAAGCTTACTACTTTATAATGATCCTGGACATAACGGGCATGAAATTTTAAGTTTGTATTAATTGAGATTTTTTAGAACTCTACAATCTTTTATAACTTCTATCGAATTATGTATTTGTATTAATTTGGTTTATGAATGCAGATTCTTTAATAAATCCAATTATAGCCAAAGCTTACTATAATTAACTTTTTTTGAAATGAGTTCGAAAAGTGTGGATTTATATATTCAATAATTGTACAATATAATTTAAATTTAACAATTCTTTTATGTTCGAGATTATTATTCAGTAACTAATTTTATGTTTAGAATATGTTTAACGATTTATTCTGGAGTAGTAGTTTGGTTTTATCTCTTAAATAACAATTATGAAAGCTTTCTTTTACTATATTGATTTGAAATTACGCGCCTGGACGTTATTTTGAAGTAGAGAACTAATAATTAATTTTGACAAATACAACTGATAATTTTTTTTAAAATGATTAAAATTAATTCTTAGCGACTCAATAGTTATTTCGTAGCAATACGGTAGTGCACAGAATAATAATAATGATAAAGGATTAGTAAAAACACGAAAAATAAACTTTGAAAAATTTCAAAACCAATTTTCCGAAGAATCGTAAGGTCGGAGATCATGTGACTGCGCCCTCGATTGTTGGTAACGCTGGGACTTTTAACACATATATCAAGTTGTTTTAAAAATAAATCCGTATAATTGTCCGCTTATAATATCCAAAAATGTGTCTTACATATATCTTCCGATAATCCGGAATTGTGGTATGCAATGTTTGAATTATTATTTTCTCAGACTATGCTAATAACTCAAGCTTCTTTTAGTTTCTTTCTATTGTCTGCGTTTATCTGTTGATTGTCTTAATCGTTTACCTTGGTTATCTCGAATTCAGATGTGTTATCTGGGTTCTGAAGGGTCTTGGAATACTTTTGGATATACTTTATTCATAGCCAATCATTGATCTTGTGTAATATAAAATCGTCAGATCAAATTTCCAAAATTTCTTTGCTTTTTGCTTTAATGTCTAAAGCTAGCAACCATAAATTAGATATTGATAATTTGGACTTTAAACATATTTATACGTTTGAAGAGTTTGAATCAATCAATGAACAACTAAAGACACACACCTTGAAGATCGATGGAAACCCGGTAAATCTATTTGAATTCCATGAAGGAAAACTCCTACCAATGTCACAAAATTCAATAAGCAAGGAAGCCGTTGTTTGTGAGATCTCCAGGCAACTTTGCAATTGGAATGTGTATACGCGTCAAAACGGAATTATCACTACATCTCAGGGTGGATTTAATTTCGGTAATTCTGATCAGCGAACAATTTGTGCACCTGATGTTGCATTTATTCCAAAAAATATTTACCGTTCGCTTGATCATCAACAACAATGGACCTTCAAAGGCCAGTCGTTTACACCGACATTTGTTGTGGAGGTTGCGGTTGTCCAAGAAGGTTATCAAGAGTATAATGATTTAGATAAAAAATTCAGGGAAATTTATTTGCGACAGGCTCGTCAGTTGGCCTTGGTTGGTTAGTGGACCCAAAGAATAAGCAAATATATATTTATAGACGGAGGGTTACCGGGGTTGTCTATCGAACTTTACATGGCTGGAATAACGTAGATGGTGGTAGTATTTTACCGGGATTCATACTTAAAGTGCAGACAATTGATGATACAATTTCACAGGTAAGCTTTATTACTTTCTATGTTGTAATTTTTTTTATTGTTCATTACCTTTTTATAAATTCATGTATTCCATAACTAGGAATACTCAGAATCATCATCATCAGAAAGTGATGGAACAATCGATTGTCCTAAATGTAGTGTAACTTTTTCAAATAATTATGATTTTATGAAACACTTTGAAAATAGCCATGCTCGAAGATGGCGTAAAAGAGAATAGAATATACTATACATTTACATTATGTAATTGAAATGTATATCTGTGATATGTTCCTTTTTTGTATGTTGTTTGGCGACATCTTTTATTTTTTCATTAAATAAGGCAAGGTTTTACGGAACCAAGCGTTAAGTGCCATTATTTTGAAATATGGAAAAATTTCTGATCTGATATGCTTGTTAGTACACATCGATGACTATACAATGTAATAAAATCCCGAAGTACACGTGCAAAATAAGCATAATCATATAAGCGAAATCGAGCCACCAGGGCTAAGCTTAATTAATGAAAAAAAAAAAGTACAGGAAAAATACATTCTAGAAATTCGAAGTTCCGCATGTTTTATTCGAAAAAAATAATTCTAGATGTAAATCATATATTAATTCATCTAATGTCATTCATTATTAAATTTACATTAGATTAGCTGGACAGTGATTTGGAAATTTTAACAACCATATCAGATTAAGTTTTTACACTTTCAACAATGAATCTTTACGGTCATAAAAACACCTTATGGCGACCCGAGAAAAAAAAATTAAAATCTTTACGGTCACTTATAGAAAAATCAGGCCTTCCCATTAAAATTCGGGAGATTTTTTTTGATTAATATTAAGTTGTTATTAATTCTATTTTTATTAGTCCGTTTAGACTTTTGTCAATCTATCCGTACTATAGCTTCATCTCGAATTTTGAGCAGGTGCCCTAACTATTCGATAGTCCTTTCTATTATCCCCATCCCATGAGCTTCATGTCAGTGTATTAGGTAAAATGGTATTAACTCATCGTCGAATATTTAAAATTATCAATCTCGAGTCCGCTTTTTTTCTTTTGTTATAATATAACTGAAAATTTTTTCATATTTGATGTTAAACTAGAAAAATAGAACCGTTGGGTTACGGAGCACTCCATATTTTATCTGATAGATTGGATAGTGGTAATTTGGAATTTTTTTGCTTATGTCTGCCTTATCCTATTCTCTTTGGAACCCACTTGAAAATTTTCTTGCCTAATGTTTGGACGTAACTATTTCCATAACTTACCGTAACTATCTCTGTATCTTGTCATAATTATAATGAGTTACGTTATCTTTGCCGTAACTTTATTACAGTTACGACAAGTTATGGAGTTTTGCAGTCTGGACTTAGGTTTCTCTGAAGTTAATTTTACAATCGAACCAAGTCTGTTATAGTTTCTATACGGGATTGTATATTTTACTGAAATTAAAGGCGGGTTCTCGAGTCTGAAAACTAAAACAAAGAAATTATTTCGTACATATCGATATCAAGTAGTATGTACTATATGTTCGATTCGTTGAGCAAAAATCGCACGCACAAGACACTAGCTATAAATGTGTGATTGTTTCAGAAAGCAAACAAATAGCGATAGATAGATTCTTTTACCTGTACCATAATAACGTCCAAGAACGCGTTATTTTGAAATACACATTTAAAGAGAGCTAAGAATTAATTTAGCTGAATGCAAACAATATATTTGATTTTAAATCTTTGATTGAATTAATTATCAGCTCTCTTTAAATTGTGAATCCTGAAATAACGTTCCTAGGCGTTATTTCAGGTATGCGCCGTGTACAACATAACTTTATTGCAACTTTTCTCCTTCCATTAAAAAAAAAAAATTGGGTTTCATCATTAGACCTTATCCATAATATATTGTACGTAACAAAGTTAGCGTTGGATATTTATATAATTCTAATGATTATCATCACGTTGAATTATTATCCTGAAAGGAATGATCGGGTTAAATACGCATGATTGTAATTTTTATCATACCGATACGGTATAGATATAATTGCTAGCGCTAGTGATTTGATTTTGTAAAAATTATAAAAGATAACATCTAAAAGTCCAATAAAGTATCAATTCACTTATCTTCATCTAAAATCTTGACCTAAATTCTCTCAATAAAACCATTCACTTGGCAATCGGTTTATATATAAATTATGAAACTAGTGAAAATTTGAGGAACTATAAATATAACATCCAATGAGAAACTCAAGTTAAAACTATGGTGAAACTCACCTGCAACTTTAATATAAATAGATGTGATTTGGTTGATCATCTTATAAAATAACTAACATTTTTTTTAAGTGAATAATGCTGACGGCGACAGTGATTTTTTGCGGGATTCTTGTGATATTAATTTTAGCACTTTATCATAAACCTACTCTTGTTTATAAATGGTTACTTACAATATTACATTTCATATATTTAATATATAAGCAGTGTATATTGATCTACTTATTTTTTCAAAAAAAACCTAATGCGCCGATAAATTCTTTGCACATACAACAAGATCTAAAAAATTTGGATAAAGTTCCAAATCATCTTGCTGTTTTATTTTGGGGGGAAATAAAAGAGAAAAGATTGAAAGAAGCTGCACAATTATGTTGTTGGGCTTGGTGTTCGGGGATAAAGGTGTTGAGTATATATGATGTTAAAGGTACGTATGTTGTTTTTATCTTGCATGATTAAATGAATATCTTTATTAACACGATTATTGTTTTTTTTTTTTACAATCTGTAAACCTATGTTAAGACGATCTAAAAAATAATGCGCAGTTATTACAATCTTATATTGATACTTTTTCCCGACATTTTTTTATTCATGAGAAATTTATTCCAATTATCCGTGTCACTGCACTTGGTGTATCAACAAAATATTCAAATAATGAAAGTTCGAACTTACCTGGTATAATTTCTTTATTTAGCTCTACATTATTAAGATCCTTGCTTTATTTGCATTCATTGTTGTTATAATGTTTGCAGATTTGCAAGTAAATTTGATCTCATACGCAGATGGTCGTACACGGATAGTGGAAGTAGCAAAAAATATGGCAGAAGATGTAATGCAAGGGAAAATGAAAAGTAATGAGTTGGATGCAGAAGAATTAGATCGTCGATTAAGTGGGTTGTGACAAAATGATTATATCAATTAAACTTTCATTTTTCATATTCATTTTCTTTTTTTAATCCAATATAGTACCTCAATTCTCTGAACCTCAACTTCTCATACTCTTTTCACCTAAAATTGAGCTTGAAGGCTTTCCACCTTGGCATATTCATCTGACTGAGATATTGTAAGTTTATTAACTATTATAGTTGTGATATTTATAGTCATGAAAATGATATTTATGAATTTAAATTGAATTATATAATTTATTTGACAAAGTCACATACCAGGAAATTCCGGTTTTCATTATAGCATTTTTATAAAAGGATTACATCAATATTCAAAGTGTGATCAAAGGTTTGGTCGATAATACATATAATAGATTGGAGCATTTAAAAATCAAGTTTATTTTAGAAGTTTTGAGAAGGTATAGAAAATATTATTTTTCACACGATCCAATTCTTGAAATAGTCTTTTTTTTTTTAAAAAAAAAAAACAAAAAAAAAATAGAAACTTATATATTAAAAGGGTGACCTTAAAAAGACTTGGTGTTTATGCTTCACAAATTTCGAAAATACGTAATGTAGTAGTTTACAAAAATTTGAAAATATAGATAGAATCTAAATAAACATACCATGTAAGTTCGTACTCAATTATGAATGATAAAGTGGATTAAGTTTTCTTTTATGCTTGATTAGACATTCGATCTTGGTGAATTTAAATAGTGGCAAAAATACCCTGAGTTCTACATTAAAGTCTCAAATAGAGTGATTACTCTAAGAATTCCCGATAAGTAATTGCTAGGCAAATAGCTTAACAGGTAATCTAGAATAATAATCGAATTGTTGCAACCCCAATTATTCGAACCAAGTCTTTCATATTTCTATTGAAGCCATCAATTATCAAGGTTTGTTTTAATAATTCCGGAGGTAGAGATATTGGGTTCCGTATAGGTTAAAATAAGATAAAAAGTTATTTACAGATTTCAAATTAGTTATTTAGTGGTGTATGATGCTTATTACAGTATTATAAATTTAGCAGGACTTGATTTATTGGTATATGACGTATTATACATTTAATAAATTCAGAAATTTAGGTTTTAAACGCAGCACTTATTTACAAAATACATTTGATATACGATTTTATGTCGATATAATTTTACGCAATAAAATTAAATGAATGAATTCAGCCATTTTGAAAATTAAGGCATAAGGAGAACTAATTACTTATCTATTATGCGAGAGAACAATACTTTACGTCACTAATTATGGTATAACTACATCGTATTAACATATAGATAATTATATAATAGTTATAAATTTACACTATAAATTAATAGATCTACTAAGCAACTCTAATATGAAGCGGTATTGATTGTTAGTCCGGATTTGTATTAGTGCCGGACCATTATACCCTTTCTTAAAGTGCGTATATATGTACGTACATACTTATTTTGCTACACTTAATTAATCCTCTTGGGTTAAAAAAGCATCGCAGAATTTAATCGAAAAAGATTTAATAACTGTTATCATGAATTTGGTAACGTTTATCTTTATAAAAATTTATATGTTTTTTAAACTTTCATTTACAATTAATTCGTACCAATTACAAAGCAAACTACATACTTTAATTAAAATTATCAACTTTTAAATAATTATTAAAAAACTTTTATATTAATTTTTTATTATAAAAAGAAGACTTTATAAAAAACTTTTTATTGCATAATATATTTATTATAAAAAACTTTTCTATTACATAATATATTTAAAACCTTTCTATTATATAATATACTTATTATAAAAATAAACCTATTTTATTACATAATATATTTAATTATAAAAAAAAAACTTTTTTATTTCATAAATAAACTTTCGAAAATAAATCTTTTTTCGTCCGATTTTCGATAATAAATCTTGCTTCATTCGAATTTCTTTTAATTAACACCAAATAATCGACGAACGAATATAAATTATCTACCTAGTGTGAAAGAAAAGAGGTAAGTACATGAAGTGACCTAGATACCTCAGAATATAGCATGTCAACAACCACCAGTAGTGGCGTAACCTAGAGCCTAGGAGCGATATCCGAGGGTTTTAATATAAAATGGGTTTCAATTAACTTAACAAGCTTAAAATTAATACTCATCTGTTAACTGAAAGGAATAAATGTTAAGTGTAAGAGAAAAAGAAATATATAGAAAGATATATAAGTGAAAGGTATAAAGAAAAAGGAAGAGAAAAGATAGTTCTTATATATCTTTTTTTTGCTACATGTCCATTGTTTTGATATCCTCAAAACGCGGTTTAATTTTGTAATCAATTTCGCGATAGAATTCTGTTATCAAGCGAAATCAGTGATGTCATACAGGGGTGATATTTTTTTGATTTCGTAAATCGCGTGTAACGCGAAGTTTTCAAAAAGTCGCGTGTAACGCAAGATCACGTGTAACGCGGTTTTCCAAAATTACGTAACGCGAAGTTTTTCCAAAATTACGTGTAGCGCGAAGTTTTTTCGAAAAATCGCGTATATTTCAAAAAAAATTGAAATTACCTTTTATGCTATAACAAAAAGTGTTCCTCTCAAATTTTACTACCTCGGAACATATTGCCACAACAGAAACAATTTGTGTATAAATACCCACGTAGTATAATGTGTAATTATCCGAGAAACCGTTATTGGAAAAACGGTTTTAGAAATCATATGCAATTACGTAATACTTGATACGTACGTACCAGAAACTGATACGAATTAAATGAATACAAAAATTTATTTTAAAAAACAAAATGTCTTTTTTTATTAAGAAATTGCTGTATTGTATATTGTATATGTAATTACACAAGTAATCTTTAAAGCATATAGATTAACTCTTTCCACATATTGATATCTAACTAAATTCACACTACTTATTATCAATTACAACTATTTGTGTGTATAAATGAATTATAATCAGTCGTATCTATTAACTAATCTATATATTTCCAAAAAAAAGTCTATTAATAAAAAATATATGTATATTACAAAAAAAAAAACCCTCCAAAAGAAAAATTCTATACCACGTCCAAACTTTATTTAAATAATTCCTACAGAAAACATTATGCCATCTCCATAGCTGCAACAGTTCCATAATCATCATCTTGTTTTTGATTATGATAATGCTTACGAAATTCATCAATCCAAAATACTGATGATGTTATAACTATAAGTCCAAAAATATCATCAAGTCCTAATGCTTCGGTTTGAAAAACAGCTTGGAAAAATGGTAAATAAATTACTAATAATTGTCCAACAAGTGAAAATGCTACTGCTAAATTAAACATTGGATTTGAAAATATTCCTAATTTAAAAATGGATTTCTTTTCTGAACGACAACTTAAAGCATTAAACATATCAAAAAATACAAAGCATGTAAATGTCTAGATAAAATCGATTATCGATTAACATGTTAATAATGAAAATGTAAATAAAACCTCAATGCTATAAATACAAAATATAAAACTTGAATATCTTACCATCGTTGTGTCCCTTGCTGTAACGATACCGTCTCGCATTTCAGTAATATAGGTAAACAAGGTACCAGCAACGATAATCGCAGAGCAAGTAAGTACACGCATGATCAGTGCTGGTGTAAGTATTGGTGCATTTTTCTTTCGTGGAGGTTGCCTCATTACATTTTCATCTACTGGTTCGACGCCGAGAGATTGTGCAGGAGGACCGTCCATTAATATGTCTAAATTATATTGATTAAAGTTAAGATAAATTCACTGAAAGCTTGCTTAACGAATTTAATTGAATTTTTCTTACTTATCCATAAAATTTGCATTGCATTTAAAGGATTTGGCAGCCCAGACACAGTGGACATAGTAATCAGCGTTAATGCTGCTATACTTGTACTTAATTGAAAGGTTAAAAAGTTTCTGATATTATAAAATATTGATTTTCCTGTTTAAAAAATTTTACATGATTAATTTATGGCATCAAATAAATCAAATAAAAAATCAATTTAAAATAAACAATTTTTAATACCTTCTTTTACAGCATCCAATATAGTTACGAACTCATCATTGACTAAAATAATATCGGCTGCTTCTCGGGAGACATCTGATCCACTTTTACCCATAGATATACCAATATCGGCAATTTTCAATGCTGGTGCATCATTTACTTTAAGAGAAATAACAAAACATAAATATATAAGATATAAATCAAAATAATCAAGTATACACATTTCGAATGTTAAAAGAATAGCTTACCACCGTCACCTGTCATTGCTACAATTGAACCATTTGATTGAAAGGCTTGTATTATAGCCATTTTATGTTTTGGAGCAGTTCTTGCAAACACAGTTATTGAACCAATAACCGACTTTAAATCTTCACCCGACATAGCTTCAATATCTGCACCAGTTAGACAATTAGAATGATTTGCTGGATTTACTGGTATACCTAACTTTCGTGCAATTGAAAGTGCCGTTTGACCTAATATAAAACAATGCTATGTAAAAAAATTCAAAGTTAGAAAAGAGAACATCTAAAAAATGGTTAATTACCAGAATCTCCTGTTATCATGACTACTTTGACACCACCACCAATCAATTGCTTTATAGCTTTCTCAACTCCTATATACACATTATTTAAAAAGCATAGATATATAAATTATAAATGCAACATATAATAATATAATATAAGAATTATCTAAAAGTATTATTAACCTTTTCTCGGAGGATCATACATTGCAACACATCCTACAAAAGTAAGTTTGTTGTGATCAGATCCAGATGCCATAGCAAGGACTCGAAGACCAAGAGAAGACATTGCAGTAACATGTCGCATCACCGACTCTTTCGCTGGAACGTCCAATGGTGGTTTATGTGTTTCTGAGACATAATAAGATGAACATTTTCCTAATACAACTTCTATTGAGCCTTTGAAATATACAATTTCTGGCGATGAAGTATCGTTTTTTCTTCGACAAGTTACAGACATCCATTTTTGCTCAGAATTAAATGGAATTTCCGAAACTCGATCGTATCCCTAGATTATATATGATAATAATAATAATAATATGGATTAATGACATTATAAACAATCAGATATGATAATAAGATAATAATAAGATAATAATATACCGTTATTTCATCTTCCAAGTTCATCTTTATAAGACAATCAAGTAATGCAACATCAGTAGCCTGCCCAAATTTTTTTCCTTCATCATCAATTTTTGCATTGTTACAAACTCCTCCTATATAACAAATGATTAAAATTAATTTGATGCAAATTGCAAAACAAAACCAACATTTATAATTGCCACTAACCAATTTTAAGAACCTCTCGCATTGCAACAGTTGTTTTAGAAGGCAAACCATGTTCCAAATCGAAAATTGTTTCTTCATCTAATGTAAATATCTTTGTGACAGTCATAACATTTTCAGTCAATGTACCTAAATAATTACAAAAAAAGAAAAAAGATTGTTAATTATAAATTAAAAATAAATTATTTAAAAAGAATTGATAATAATCTACTTACCAGTTTTATCTACACAAATAACATTTACAGAGCCCAAGGTTTCGACAGAAGGTAACTTTTTTATAATTGCATTTTTTCTGGCCATTCGTAAAACACCCAAACCTAAGGTTACAGCTACAACAATCGGAAGACCCTCAGGAATAGCCGCTACTGCCAAACTGACTATATTTTGAAAAAACATATATACATTGATACTAATAATAAATAACTATCGAACCGAAAATTGAAATATGTTAATAAAGAATTTTAATAACCTCCAATTGTAAACATCTCCAGCCATTGTCTCCCTTGTATAAGACCAATAGTAACTATAACTGCAATAATAGCACCAGATAAGTAGGATAATTTTTTTCCAAGATCATTCATGCTAATTTGAAATGGAGTTTTTGGAGTTTCTGCCTATAACAAGAATATTATATCAATAAATGACATGTTTTATAACTTAACCGAATAATGAGAAAATTTCTGACCTCTTTTACTAGAGAGAATACAACTCCATATTCTGTGTTATTTCCAATTCCAATAACAATACCGGATCCATGGCCTAAAAAAAAAAAAAATAAATAAAATCTTAAATATAAACTTCAAAAAAAAAAAAAGCAAACCTTAATTTCAAATAAATCAAAAAAATTTTTACCGTTCCTAACAAGAGTCCCCATAAATGCAATATTTTTTCTTTCTTGAATTGATTCTATACAATTATTTTCTGAAGTCATTACATCAATAGACTTTTTCCTAGGTTTCGTTTCACCAGTCAAATTAGATTCATCAATTTCCAGATTTACCGCCTGGCTTAAAAAGATTCAATTTAACCAGAATTTCAATAATTTCAATAACTTTTTTTATAAATATTATAAAATAAAATGCCAACCGTTACTAATCTTATATCAGCGGGAACTCTGTCACCAACACCAAAACGGACCAAATCTCCTGGTACCAATTCGGTAGCTGAAACTGTTGCTAAATGACCATCACTATTAACATTATCAAAAAAAAAAATTAGTATCAACATTAAGATTAACAAGAATCAAGTAAATATATGTATAGATAAATATATTTATATTGTGAAAAAAAAAATTAATAAGATGTTTACCGAGTTAAATGACAGTGATGAGGGACTAATTTATTTAGAGCCTCAAGAGATTTTTCTGATCGATATTCCTGGACAAACCCAACTATTTATCATACAGATCAGTCAAGGTTAAAAAAAAAAGTACAAATATATGAAAGATACAAATCGAAGTTTAAACAAATTTTACCTGCTGTGACTATGGTAACTGCCTAAATTAATTAATCGAATTGAAACCGAATCATTAAATATAAAAAAAAAAAAATCAAATCAGATCAAATTAAACAAATGAAATTGATACAAACCAGGAAGACCGAAAATGCATCTTTTTGATTCCCCATTATTAAAGAAACAATAGCAGAGCAAAGAAGTAAAAGGATGAGTGGATTCTCTACAAATTGTTTTAGGAATTTGATAACCGGATGTTCGCCTTCCTCAACTTCAAATTCATTATAACCACTTGTTTTTCTCTTCTCAGCCGCCTGACTTGAACTAAGACCATTTTCTAAATCGCTATCTAATTCTTGAAAAGTTTTTTCAACAGTATAACATGCAAAATATGCAGACGGTGTTAAAGAACACATTTTTTGGTAAATATATTTTTAGGTTGTTAACTCTGACGTTGAGATGCACAAAATCAAAGTTGGGGGCTGTTACTAGAAAGGAGAAAATGTAAAATTGTAATGTTTATGCCTATATATAAACGTTTATGAAGATCACCTGCACAAATATAAATAAATCACTTAAAAAAATGGTTGTCGAATGCTTATTGATCTATATGATCATATTTTTTTTCTTTTACGTTTAGCATTAATATTTATACAGAAACACTGCATGTAAGTCATTAATTTGTGATTCTACTACAAAACGTGGTGATACTAAAATGGATTCAGTTATATTACACAAAATCTATTCAATTATTATCTATCAAGAGGATGCTATTGTGGTACCTTTTTTAGATTAACAATCATTTTAACTCTAATGCTAATACTTTTTTTCGTTCTTTTGCAAAGCCTTTCTTATGCTGACAATGACACCTCCAAATAAATGCAACTAATTTTAAGCCACTAATAAATGGGGTTTTTTGGTTTTTTTTTTTTTATATATAAAACTTTACTGTTATATAAGATAACAATCCAAAGCATGTATTAAATGCATATCTCGTGATTATCTACCAACGATTTAACCAATTATATGGTTAAATAGTTACGTAGACGCAAGCAAACAAATTTTTAAATGTAAATATTTTTGTTATTTATGCATACGTATACTTTTTGTGTTATGTTGAACTATTATTCTACATATATTGATACGTATATTGATATAATATGTATTAAGAGAAAATATGTATTAAAAGAAACTAATAAGAGTGGATAAACTATTAAGTTATATATACATTATTCCCTATTGCTAGAACAATAAGATACTGCACTCTAACGCAATGTTGTCACGAATATATGTCTAGCTCAACATTTTAATAAGACCCATAATTGCCTAACGCTAAGCAAAAATAACATTATATATACACTGTGGCTCTCGATATAACGGACCATCGATATAACGGATATTGCTTAATATAGAGAATTATAATGGAACAAACTCATGATTTATTATAATATATATCTGATATATTATGAGATTTTGATATAATGATAACGGAACAAAGGACTTGACCATCGAGAGCCACTGTGTATATTTAGGGGATGAGTCAATAACGATAAAACCAAATTTAACAAAAAAATTCATTAAAAATTTTGCATGATTTCTATTGACTCTCCCTCATATATAATCAAATTTGAACAAAACATTGGACGGAACATGCCAGAAAAAATTTGGAAATCAGAAACATACGTACATACAACATTACTCTCATGTGAATAAATTAATCCTTAAATGGATTAAAAAAACTAGACTGCCAAGCTAAAGGCCTGAAGCCAAGTAGTGCTTAACATAACCAGCCCCAAACATCTGGTTAATTTTATCGCCACAAGGGTTTGAATTGTTATTCGCAGGGCTGAGAAACTATTTTACATAATAATTTGGTCAGGTAAGTCCAAACCAAGTCGAGTTAAACCTGGTTTTTTTACAATTCTGTGAATTTTTTTTTAAAAGATTTAGCGTTAGATTGATGCAAATATAGTATTTTAATTTATTTATGTGTACCGTTACATACTCTGGATGGATCATGTATGTACTGTACGTACATAAACCAAGACAGGGTCGAGTCTCCGAATAAACCGGTTCGGTTAGGATTGAGAAACTACATACCGAAACTAAAGCTAGATTATACTAAAACTGAGTATATTAAATTGTTCATACAACAATAAATGTAATATGATATTGTTTCACTGATCTTATACTGCAGTAGCGGTAGTAGCGATTATTGTTGTATCACTATCGCTAGAAAATTGGTTCGATTTAACGATGTTTAATCAAAATTAGGGTTATTTTTTATATTGATATATAGTGTTTCTATGTAGCCAATCAATATTTAATGCGATAGCTTACAGTAACTAATAATAAACCCAAAATAAATCATTTTTTACATTACATATAAAAAATATCATTTTAGCTAATGCCGATACGTATTAAATTATTAAATACGTATTTATTATAAAACTTTGATTAAAAATATCTTGGCATTTATCTAATCAAACCTGATAATCTGTTTTGTTTTTTTTTTATAGAAATTAATCTTCATGGTTAAAAATAAAATAAAATTTATCAAATTTGATTAAAAACAAATCTTTATATAGCTATACATTCGGTTCCGATCAACTCATCGGCAATCACTTTAAAGACACCATTTTCGCCGACACACATTTCACCGACAAGCTAAGGTTATTATATTTAAGGTTAATACGGTTTATAAAAAAAACCTTGTTCTGTGAAATGAGTAATATACTGTCTACGAGATGAACTTGTCGTAAATTTCATAAATTCTGGGACAACTGATAAAAATTGATTGGATTATTCGGCCGAATTCAGTGTTATCGGCTTTGGATTCCAACATTACAGTAATGCTGATAAACACAGAATTCAAAACTTATTGAATTCGGCCGAATAATTATCAGTCAATTTTTATCAGTTGTCACAGAATTTATGAAAATAGCTTGTCGGTGAAATGAGTGTTGGTGGAATGTCGTTTCTTTGAAACGATTGTCAGTAAATTTATGTGGACCTCTATACATTTATATAAAATGCACCTATGGTGTTTTTATTGGTTTAACACCTATTATGTTTTTATTATGTTTTGTAGATTTTTCCAAGTTTGTTAAGTTTGTATATAAGGTTTGGGATGGTTTTTTGAAACATAGAACATTTTTATTTAAATTATTTCGCATTGAATAATTAACTAGTATTTAAATAATCTATTCATAGATGAGTTTTAGCAAAAGTTTAGATCTGTAGTACTGAAACCAATAATATTATATGAAATTACTAGTGCTAATTGGGGTTTATATATATAATATAATAATACTTTTGATATACAGATAATTATTTAATATATATAATATTTCTAAAATTGTAATATCGATATACTGTAAATCAATGCTTGGTTTAAATAAATTACAGTTTATATTGGTTGTAATAAAATTATAGTTGTAAAATAGTTAGAAATATTATATGGGGTCTGTGCCTTGAAAATGACCTTACAGAACTACGTAGATTTTATAAATAAAAATTAAAATTTCTAGCCATTCAGTAATCCAAATAAACCTTTTTTTATTTTATAGAGCTTAGCGAGTTCTACAAAATAAATAAAAAGTTTATTTGAATTGGATTACTTGATGGCTAGAAATTTTTATTTTTATTTATAAAATCTACATAGTTCCGTAAGGTCATTTTCAAGGCACAGACCCTATATATTAAACTTATTAGGACTAATTTTGAATATACAATCAAATTTCAGTTATATCTTCACTAAGTTTTATCCTAACCTAAGTTACATCTTCACTATTTAGCATATAAAAATTTAAATTTTATATATATAATTATTTAGAATTTTAGAAGTTTAAAATATTTGGATTACTCTCTTAAAATAAAGTATTTTTTTATCATCACAAATAATAAACTAATTGTAATTTATTTATTTTTTTATTGAAGTTAATTAAGCTTTTAATTTGATTAAATTATCTATGATAAAATTATAATATTTCTTAAACCGTTTCTTCTGCAAATTGCTCTAAAATTTTTTTAAAAATAATATGTTTAAAATAAATTTTAAATATTAATTTTGGCAGTATAATTTCTAAATAAAAAACATATTATAAAATCTGTTTTATTAATTTTGTTAAGAAATTTTTTTAAAATTATTAAAAATTTTTTGAGTAATAAAAATTTTTTTTTTTTTTTTTTTGAAATGTCAAAGTAGAAACTTTATTAAGTAATAGAAGAATTACATTAAAGATTTCTAAACT